CTCGTCTTCCTGGTGGCATCCAAAGTGTCCGAGATGAACTTTTGCCATCTTGGGCAATCTGACACCAAAGGTTTTCCAACAATAAACGCAAAACAGGGAGAAAAACAGGTGCTCTTCCTGTCAGGAGAAAGCGAGCCAGCATTTGGATAGGAAAGCTTTAGAGGAACAAATATAAGCACAGTAACTACAAGATGTGCTTGACTTGGACAGCAAGAAAAACCATCTCAGCACACCACTTTGTGCTCCCTTTGCTGCTCCAGGGCTACGTCTGCCCTTTGCTCGCAGCACTGACCGCCACCGAGAGCAGACAGATGCAAGCTGGACATCCCCTGGCCGGCGTAACGAGCGCTGCTCGCTGCAGGGAGATCAACACGTGCTAATTTGTGCCTGCGGTGGCACAGCCACCCAGAGACCAGACGCAGTCAAATCCTCAAATCCCCTCTCCGGAAAGATGCCTGGATCGGGACTGCAGAGGCGAAGCCAGCGTCTCCCGCCGCCTGGGCAGGCACAGCCAGCGGGGACACGAAAAGTGGTGGGGAAGCGGCAAGGCAGGGAGCAGCCGGGAATCGGGAGCGGGAGGCTGGAGGCTTCCCATCAGCACAGCCGGACCCTGGAGCGCGTAAGCGCATTTTAACGTTATGTAACGGCGGACTTTACAGCAAGGCTTCTTTTGAAACTGATCTTATGTGGAAAGGTTAAAGAAGCTTAAATTATTCTCTCAGAACTTGGGAGGCTTAGAAGTGACGTCTTTCATGTTGCTTAAGGTAACGGAAACTGGAAGCACGGCCGAGCGCAGGGTCTAGCTGCTGCGGGGGGGCTTTGGGCTTCAAGGGAAAACCAAAACGCAAGAAGGGGTAAGATGTGGCGTTTCAGGCCGCTGAGGCAGGATCCCGTGGGATATCGTTTAAGGACATTTTGATCCAGTTGCACTCAGAGGCTGTCTCCGACCCGCGCCGGCAGCACGCTCTGCGCCGCGTGTCGGCGGGCAGGGAGGGGGCGTCCCCCACCTCTCCCGCTGCGGCAGCCTCTGGGAGCTTCACACCATGCCAAGAAATAGATTAGTTAATAGACAAGTAGGAAATACTTAATGTTTCTCATAATAAAACTTTTATCAACGTGCCCTCAGAAGGCTGCAAGCACCTTGAAAGCTAGAGCCAGGAACGCGTTAAGGCAGGCATACAAGAGAAAAGGCCATTAAACAGTTGTGCTATTTAGTCTGTCTGTCTTGTCATATGATGTCCCACTATCCAAGCCCCAGAAATAAGGGAGAGGCACAGGGCAGGCGCGGGAAAGCAGGAGTTAGCGTCCTTGAGGCCCTGAGCAGGCCGCTGCCCCGATGGCTCTGCAGCATCTTCAGCAAGAGCGGGAAGAGGCACGCAAACCCAGCCTGGCAAAGGTGTCAGGGGCTAATTAGCCAGTCTAATAAACTAGTTGAGGTGCTGAAGCAGCTATGTAAAATCCAATAGCTATTCATCATTTTAATTATGCATATAATGGCTTTATCTTTTTGTTACCTTATTTCATTATTGAAAACCTTTATTTCAAGTACACATTTTAATGCTTAAATCCAGTCACCAATAAAAATATTTATAAATAATTCAATATATAACAAGGCACCAATTCCTCCAAGAGCAGCAGTTTTAAAAGCAGGATACTGGAATCTCTCTCAGCGTCTGGCATTTTAACATCATGCCAGCGTACCCAGCAGGTAACACTATATAGCTCTTCCAAGCTACACATGCTCATTTAGGAGCTGTAACAGAGGAGCTCGCGTGAGAAGAGCATCTCTTGGTGGCCATCAATATACAAGAGAGGTCTTTGGCACGCACCAAGGACAGGCAAGCCCGCTAGCGAGTCTGCAACACCAGCCCAACAGCTGCATGGTGAGAAATAAAATAAACCTTCTGCTGGATGGTGCTCCTCTGCCCTGGAGACCCATAGCCGGCTACACGGAGAACATTTCCCTACCAGTTTCCTCTGAGACCAAGACACCAAGTTTAGGATGGAGATGTGTCATTAAATTGCATCAAACTACATCGAGCAAAGAGGAAAAACACTGCTAGGGATGGTCTTGAATGCTGATACCAGCTGCTGAGCAGCTGCAGCCCCCTGCTAAATAACCGCAGGAAAGACCAGGCGAGGTCCTCATCTCCCTGCTACACCAGGAGGAAATGCTGGTAGTACTCCTAGCCCACAATCACCATTTGCTTAATTAATAAGCCGATTTTTCTAACAATGTTTTAGCTTTTCTAATTATACAATATATACAGCACCACGCCTTAATTTTTCATGTACTTGCCTCCCTTTTGCTTGCAATGAAGTAAAATTAAGACAAACCTACAGGTGAAATCCTTATCCTAATGGAACTAACAAGACTTTCACCACAGGCAATTGCACAGCCAGGCTTTTACTTTTCATTTCTTCATTGCATTTATTCCCATAGCAGGGCTGTATTAAAAATGTATAGGTCAAAACAACAGATGCCTATGGTGGGAGCACTATCTCTGTTTTGATCCTGGTACCGCGAGCGTTTGTGTCTAAGACCCAGTGAGGTCAAGAGGATTTAAGCAGGTGCTTAGTTTTAGGCATGTGAATAAATTAATCATTATTGAACAGAGTACACGAGCGTTTATTTTACTGATTGCTGAATCAGTGCTTTTAAGCCATCAGATGGGATCAGCGCGACTGCCATCAGAGAGTACCCTTTCGCTTCCCCATGACTGAGGCAAGACCTGCTCAAGCTGATTATTTCTGCATTACTTGGTGAAAGGGGAGAGAGGCAGGGAACTCCCGGGACCCAGCCCTCCCGCCACAAATGCGCATCGAGTGCACGAGTGCCCTCGCAGGCACCCGGATATTTAGCTCCCAGTAAGCTTCCCTACAGGCACCCCCCGTGTTACCTAAACGATCAGCTCAAGGAAACCGCAAGTGCAAAATGTAAGAACACTTGCGCAGAAAAAAAGCTGGGGAGGTGGAGGCAAATACGTTCCCCTCTAAAGGGGAGGCAAGTGCATCCTTGCGTTGTGGAATAATACTTTGTTCCCTCCACCTTTGTGTGCATTACGCAGAAGGCAGCACGGCCACAGCACAATCCTTTCGTGCCTAGAGTAAGATGAGAAATACAGCCATACTCCAAGTTAACATCAGGCTCTGCAAGTGGCACGAATGAAACCGTAGCTAGCATTAAACTCGTCATGATTTTGGGTGCTGAAAACAGTAGAAATTGGTGCAATGACGCAATGGCGGGAGGGCCCAGCAGGGATGCCACGTGCTGTCCTCCACCCTCCTGAGCCCGCGTCATGCGCGGGGACAGTGACGGAGGCAGGGGAGGAGAGGGAGCGCCCGGGCCCTCCCGGGACAGCCGCCTTGGCAGAGGGGGCTTATCTGTGCCTGCAGGACCTCGAAGGCTCAGAAGGCGCCGAGGGAAACCTGCGCTGGCAAAACCAAAGCCCGGTGATTAAGCAGGCGTTCCCTCTCCTCCGGAGAGGCTGGCAACCGGAGCCTTGCAGACGTACGGAAGGACACCACCAGGCTGCGTCCCACCAGACTGGGTGCCTTTTTTGGAGCACGGGGCGCGCTGCGCATGCCGGCACGCGACCGGGCGCCGTGGACCGCCAACACGGCGCTCCCCACCCCGCTGTTACTACAAGGGTATCCTACAGCTCCAAGCGTATTCTTACATTTCTTTGTTCAGAACTAAGAAAACCTTCCAGAAAGGGGGGAGGAGGGGGGGGAAAGAACGAGCGTCTAAAGCACTTCCCAGCCAGAGGTGCAAAAGCCCATTACCACTGATGGCCAAAAGAAAGGTGAATCAAAGAGCAAGGCGCTTGGGTGTCCGCACGGCCACGGCTGCCCCTTCCCAGGGCCGCGCGAAGCCTGGATCGATGCCGCTTTGCAGCTGGCACCCGCTCTCGGCGTTGCTGTTTGTTCAGTGATGGGTTGCCAAGGTGTCAACACCAAGTTATGTGAATTTCTCTCTGGGTGAAAGATACTCAGGGTTCAAAATTACACCCAGAGCCAGCAGGGACATTTCGCAGCAATTATCACCAATTGTCATGGTGGCAAATTGGAAGCGGTCAGAGGAGAAGAAAAAAAAAAAAGACTTGTCCTTTCTTCACCTTGCATACAAATGAAAAACAAATGTGATCTTCTTGCTCTTGACATAACCATGCTTTAAAGGGCTTTACAAACATCTATTTCCTCATTTGAGCTCACACAGAAGACATATTATCTCTTTTAAATATGCCTTCTCCTTGGCAGTACGCAGCCTATACCCTATCTTTAACATTTTAAGAAGCCGCCAAGTGGTTATTTGCAAAACTGACATTAGGAGATGGACATAATCTATTTTAAACCTCAGCAAAATTGGCCATTTTCATGAGGTTCTAACATACGGCTGAATTAATCAAGTCACGCGGATTATGAAATATGAAATGCAGACCCCCATCTCTCATCTGCATGGGAGCTGTTTGGAAAAAAACCCAATCATCTCACAGCACAAGGCAGAGAAAAAAAAATAATGAAATGAATTGTTTCCAAAACACAATGGCTTTCTGAATGGTAGTGCTCTTTCTAGAATAGTGCCTAGCTTTTCCAAGACTTAGTTCTCAACTCTTATTTTTCCTGAAGGTTTTGATATTGCCGCACTCGTCCTACAGCTGGGAAACCCAGAAAAAGAGCAAGTGACGCTTGAGGACTCGGCACCCATCGGCCACCTTTGGGCCATCCTTGCTGCCTACAACCAGCATCATCTCCTCTGCCAGCAGTGACCAATTCGGCCCTTCGTCCTCTCTTCCTATGTCCTTCAGCTACTTCCAGCCTTTTCCCTGCTGCTTTTCAGCAGCCTCCCTTCGCTGAAACGTCTATCGCAGCCACCCAGCTCCTCATCCTGCCTTTTCAAGGACATGCAAGCCCCTTCGCTCTGCTCCAAGGGTTCCCGCTGCTTCTTTCTGCTTGTATCCGCGCCCACTAACGCAATATGTCCTGGGAAATGAGTCCACCTTCACTGGTGTTGGCTGGAAGTGGCTTAGCCCTCCCACGGGGGAAATAAAACCAAGAAACGGCATTCCCTCCAACATTAAAATGCAAGACTCTTCTGTCTTACTCGATCTTGCTTCAGAGGTCTTGTTTATTTGGTTGCTTGGAGACTACTTTGTTTTCAGTTGTTTTTCTTTTGTTTTAAATGGCTGCAGTTAGTATTTTTGTTAGTACAAAATGAGGCCAAAAAATACTGATTCTCAGGCAGAACTGCCTGGAGCTTGCAGCAGTTTCAATCCTTTGCTCAACGCGCATCCAGTATTAAGCGCAGCACTCTTTGCGGAGACAGAAACACGGATCTGCCGAGCAAATGCCTTTTCCAGGTCGCCTGCTGCACGTTGCGCGCATCCAGCCGGGCGGGCTCCGGCGGGATCGCTCTCGGGGAGGGAGAGATCAACAGAGCAAACAAAGTTTCGTTGCGTTGTTTCTAGGGAGGGAGTCGCTCGCTGGATCGGGATTTTGCGTCTATGCAAATTCCTCAGCTGTCACATTCAATCCGACTCAAAATATCGGCAAATCTGTAGTGACACACCAGTTATCCTCAACAGGAGCGCTCGGAAAGCTAATTCTCCATTGACGCGCCGCCGTGCAGCGGGCCGGGCTGCTTTCATCAAACCGGAGGGCGGACCGTGCTCCG